CTACTTTTGCAGATGACAAAAAAGGGGGGGAGGCAATTAGTTTGCTTGATCTGTGTGATGCTTGGTTTGCTGTTTGTCACTTGTCCTGGAGCCGAGGCAGGTAAAGGTGAAGATGACATCATCTGGTTCAGCTCGGCTCTCCATGTTCCCAGCCCAGCGCCTGGCACGTAGTTGGCCTGGGAACTATGAATTTACCGTTCAGTGAATGAATAACTTACATTAAAACCTTCCAGAACAGGATAGAAGGGATGGAAAGTTCTAAAAGACCTCCAGATGCACACCAGTGCTCAGTGCACCCCCGCTGAAGGATTGACCGAGTTTGCAGTCTTGCTCTTGACCGGCACTGAGATCCCCAGTGTGAGATCCTAGGTTATGAGTTCCTCTCCAAGGAAGCCCCCCTAGCTGTGCACCCAACGGTGCCCTCGGAGCCCAGGGCCGAGGTCCCAGGGCATCCGGAAACTGCATTCGTCAAGGCACACCGAACCCTACGTCCTCTGTGTATTTTTAGCTCATTGACGTCCAAATTCCAGAGGAAAAGTGAATAATGCTTAGAGGAACATTGGCTTTCTTCCTGCTCCACCAAGCCAACGAGTCCTGGGGTGTACTTTTATTGGTCTGACGTGAAGTTGCTGGAACATTCCAAACAAGTGTGAGGCTCTCGCTAGCGGAATGGACGGGGCGGGGAGAGATGAGAAAGGGGCTGGGGTAATTGGGACAGGTCTGGAGATTGGATTCTTTCTCCTTACATGGAAATGGTTTCAATTTTTTTCTGATAATTAAAATGACGTCTACTGGAAGAGAAATGCAGACTATTATAAATAAGTAAAAATAATTAAAATTCTTCCTCTAAGACATGAGCTCTGTTGACATTGGGGGGGGGGGGCGTTTGCCTAGACTTTTTCATGAGGTAGTTATACTCCATACACATTTTTTCTTAATGAAATTTTATTTGTATTGCTTAACGTGGTTTTTTTTTTTTATTAGACTAAAACTCACATAACCATTTTAAAGTGATCCATTCACTGGCATTTAGTACATTCGCAATATAGTGCAACCTCTACCTTGTTCCAAGACATCTCCATCACCCCAAAAGGAAACCCCAGACCCAGGAACCAGTTGCTCCCATTTCCCATCCCCCATCCCCCGGCAACCACCCATCTGCATTCCGTCTCTGGATTTGTCTGTTTGGGACATTTCATATAGAGGGAGTTGTGTAGTAGGTGGAATTATGTCTGGCTTTCTCTTACTGTTTCAGACCTTGTGTTTTTCATTGAACAGTATATGGTTGAGTATGTTAATACGGTAGACGTGTCCCCCTTCCAAAGGCTCCTATGGCGTTCCAGGGGCAGATGTGCCATCCTTTATCTACCCAGCCTCCTGTGGTCGGACAGCCAGGCTGCTTGGCTTCAGTGCAATCAGATCCGGGCTAGCAGAATTGGTCTTCCTACCACAGGAGCCAGAACTGACATTTTCCTAACCTGCCTGCCTAATAGCAGCGGAACGGCTTTGCCAACACATGGAGGCCTCCCAAACTGTCTCCTCGAGGAGCAGAGAAAAGCCACCAGGCCGATAATCCTCAGGGAGTCGTTCTTATCCAAGTAAGGCATGCAGCACTGGAGAGCTCCTGAGGTGCAGGGCAAATGTCTGTCCCGCGGCTGTTTGGAAATAGACCTGCTATGCAATCCCTTAGCAGGAATGGAAATCACAGATGAAGATCAGGGGTTCCTCTGGGTTTTTCATGAAGGACCTTGCCAGCCTGGGTGAGCTGCCTCGTTGTCAGAGGGATCTGACCTGCAGTATTTTATTTTCGGCTGAGTGGCAAGGCTGGGGTGCACTGGCTGTGGCTGCGGAGAGTGGAGGTGCCCGGGACACAGGTGGGAACCAAACCAAGCCCCTTAGGAAAACACGCTGCAGGGGGAGAAAAACAAGAAACTGATGAGTCAAACACAGTGTTCCCATGGTGATCAGAAGTTTGGAGCTACTTAGAGGTCAGAGCCGGTATCTTGGGTGAGAGGCACAGCCTGTGCAAAGGCCCAGCTGTGGGATGGGGCTTATCGTGTTGTAGGGACCTCAGTGAGGCCAGGGCACTGGACAGGGATGAGCAAGGGGAGAGTGGTGGGAGGGAGGTTAGAGATGTGGTGGGGCTGGGGGTAACTCAGGTCTGATCTTTAAGCCAAGGATGTTGGCCTTTAGCCCGTCGACATTCACCCTCCCCCGCCCCCGTGGGCTGGGAAGCCATCGGAGGGTGATCCATTTATTTCTTTGATAAAAGTCCATTCCTTCTCAGAACTCCAGGGAACAGCCTTTGGTTTAGGCTCCTCTTTGAATCTCACCTTGTAGAACATGAAATGTGTTTTTAAACATGTCATCCTTTAATCTGGGCCCCTTGGGGAAATCAGTTCTTTATCACCCACCACCATCTGTTGTCTCCAAGGCACCATCGAAATAACTCAGGGAGATTTGACTTCTAAGGCGCTTATCTCTTTTGTTCTCTCCAAATTCTGAGAAACGTTTGAATTTTCCTCAGTGAGTAGTGGCATCTCTGCACGCCCCCGCTGGGGGTGCTATTAGGAAGTCACTGGACTGGGAGGCACCAGGGGTGGCTGGAAAGTATTTCCCTTCTTATCTCCAGTTTCCATTAAATTTCATAAATGAGGCTTGATAGGAAACCAGGCTAAGCGGAAAAACCAACCGTCTCCTCCAGACCATTGCCCCCCGAAGGCGGCCGGGGCAGCTGTCACATTTGATTAGGATTTAAAAGGCAGGGCCCCAACATGAGTCCAGTGTCGTTAATTCTGAAGAAAATGAATTAAGAACTAATGCCATAGGATTATGTCCCCTGCTTGCAACTTGGAAATTATTCACGATGGCACTTGGAGTTAGGGGGACTGGGCTGAGCAGGGGTTAGAAGTTCCATGCTCCCGTCTTCTTGTTTTGGGGAAGAACCACCAATCTCCTGAAGCCTTCCTTTCCTTACCTGCCCATGTCAGCTTTGTGTTCATTTTTACTTTTCACAAATCTAAGGAAGGAAAGATGAGTTCTTTGAGTGAAGCTGGGGTGGGAACCAGGAGACCCACCCTATCCAGGTTGTTTTTCTTCCCACTTGCTTACGGCTTTCATTTCTCTTCCCCTCCTTCTCAGCCTTTCTGGGGGAGAGGGAGTGGTCTCTGGGAGGAAGTTTGAAAACCACTAGTCCTTGTGATTGCACCAATTCGAAGATACACCTGCTCCGGCCTATTCTCGGGACCTATTCTCGGTGACCCTACGCCCTCTACAGGGCATTAGGAGCAGCGCAAGGAGTTCTCAGCCACTGTAATAGCTGCTCCGGAAGGATTTTTATGCCCTTGACCTTCTGTCCTTTTAGTTGAGATCAGATAGCACATGTCATTTTGTATCTTGCCTTTTATTTTATTTTTTTACTAACATATCATACATGTTTTTCCTGTCATTAAAAATTATTCGTAAGTACTTCTACAGTTTAAAAAAATTTTAATTGTCTTCGTGAAATTGAAAAACAAAATGTGTGCATGGCAGAATATATATACATATATATACATATATGTATACATACACACACACATATATATATATACTCTTTCACACTAGTTATATATATAATAAAATAGTGAACAATGAGGAGAACTCTCTTGGCTTTGAAACCTCATTCTTTGAAGGCAATTCTTGATAACAGTTTCTTGTGTATCCTTGTATCTCCTTTCAAAAAATATTCTAGGCCCATACAAATATATACATATGACATGTGTGCAAATGTATATTTGAAAACATAGGCGCATAGCAAACAAACTGTTCTTCACCTTAATTTCTTCACGAACCACAGTATCTTGGTGAACTTTCATAAGCAGGTTGAGGGCAAGTTTCGAAGGCTCCATATTAACCCAGTCTGCAAACTGGCATTATTTACTTGGACAGTACAGGGGGTGGGGTTTTGAAATAGGTGTGCAGGGGAATGTGGGGATTTGTAAATAGGAATTTGAGTGGCAGGAATCGTTTAGGCATAAGCCAGGAGGCAGGGCAAGCCAGGGTGTTTCTTCCCAATGACCCTATTCTGTATCTAACTCTGTGTGTGTGTGTGTGTGTGTGTGTGTGTGTCGGAGCATAAGATCTACCCTCCACACATCCTGCTTTCAAATCCAGAAGCAATACAGTGTTCCCGGCATGGATGGGGACTGATGTCAGAGAGACCAATAGTGAATTGCCTGATGTGACGATCTCTCCCAACCTCCCCTCTAACATGCTTATTTTACTGGTCACGTGCCTGTATGTCCTATATGTTAAGTACTGTGTCTCATTAAACTTTATTGAAACATAATGCCAAAAAGCATACAAAAAATCGTGTGTCCAGCTCCACAAATCTGCTCCAAGTGGACCAGCCTCCAGAGACCCGAGTGACCTTCCCGGTCACCGCCCACTAAGTGGCCACTATCCTAACTTCTCTCACCAGACAACAGTTTTGCCTCTTTTTGAACTAAAAATATAAACAGATTGTGTTCTCTTGTGAGCTGGCTTTTTTTGTTCCCTCAATAAGATGTTTGTGAGATTTATCCAAGCTGTGTGAATTTATCCACTGTATGTATGATTTGTAAATTCTCAAAGCTCCATATGGACTATAAGATGTATATGTATATAGAGAAATATATGTGTATGTACATACATATGCACATTTTATATATACAGACACACATATATACTGTCACATATGTATAAAATGTATGTGATATACGTGTGTGTGTATCTATCAGGATAGACACAACACACAAACTGCTCATATTCGTTTATCCTTTTTGCTGCTGATGGGCTTTCAGTCATTCCATTTGGGGGCTACTACAAAGAGAAACATCTGTCAACGCTCAGAGCAACCCACTGGGGCTGCTTCTGCTGTGTTTACGGAAGGCTCAGAGGCTCAGAGAGGCCCGGTGACTTGCCGGCAGCTCATAGCTGCAAGTAGTGCAGCGACCCTTGACACTGCCCTCTCCCTGCAGGACGATGAGGCGAACGACCCCTGGCAGACCCTGGAGGAAAGCTGCCCGCCCGCGCCGCCCCCGCGCTTTCTGCCTCTGGGCGCCTGTCAGGTGGCGCTCTGCCAAGCCGACTCCCAGTGCCGAGCGCACCACCTCTGCTGCTACAACGGCTGTGTCTACACCTGCATGAAGGCCATACCGCCCCCACCCGGTATGCACCCTGGGGCCCCAGGGAAATAGGGCGGGGCACCAAGTGAAGTGTCCTGCCACGCCCTGCCTGGTAGTTCCAGCCTGGAGGAGCGCAGATGGGCTTAAATTTGGGCCATCTGGGCAGGTTCGCCTGTGAAATGGGAATGGGAGGCTCATGAGCAAGTGTCCAGCTGGATGGACTGAGGCCCCTGTCCTCAGAGAGCTCTAGTCCAGGAAACGTGCATTCCGGGGTAAATGACCCTCCTGTGAAGATGGGGGAGGTTTCTCATAAAAATCCAGATTTCTGGCTTTTCTTAAAATACTGCACACTGTTCCCTGGGCCACCTTCTGCTGGAGCCTCATGTGCCCCTAGAGGGCAATGGGACCCTCCATGGACCCCACCAGGTCCCCTTCACTCATGATGCCTGGCTCTGGGGGCATTCTGAGATGGAGACCTGGGACTTTAGCCGTCCAGACGGGGTGTGCCCAGAGAGGCAGGGGCTGCAGACTCCTGACTTCAAATTCACGGGCTAGCTGGTCATCTCCTTAGATCTCCCCACCCCCACCCCACCTGTAAAGCAGGATGAAATGAGAACATGCAGTTCCTAGCGGGTCTGATCATTGCCAGGGGCTTGGGGCCCCATCAGGGCTAGAAGCAGATAATCAATAACATGTATAATCTTAAGGCAAATCTCCCTTGGGAGAAACAGTTCTCAAGGATGCATCTTTGAAAGGAAGGAGTTTCAGATCCCTCTGGAGAGAAGATTTAGGACAGGATAGAAGGGAGCCTTGGGGAACACTGAGCGGGGAGGTGGACAGCTAACTCCCTCTGAATGAAAGGGGGGGAAATGTCCCTACTTGGTTATGGGGGCAGTCAAGACTCCACTCTGCTTGGGCTGAGCCTTAGACAATAACAGCCTGTGTGGACCACATCTGAGGGTTCCATGTGTCTTATTACTGAAAGTGTCTCTGAGAAGTTAGCCCCAACCATTCCTCACGAGGCCAAAGCAAGAGCGACCACACTTTTTATTCTTTGGACTGAGGTCACAGCAATGACAAGGGACTAGTTACGTTTAGTGATGCTCATAATTACAGTATACAGTGCATCTGAGCACCGCCTCTTGTTCAGAGACTGTGCATGTACTCAGGCCCGGGAGGCTCTCACAGGCTCTTTATAAGGAAAGACAACATGGCGCCCCCTCCTGGTGGAAAAAGCACATACAGGTGCTTCCCTCCCGGTGTGCAAGTAAAAAAAGGTGTCCCTTCCTTAGGACTGCAACAGGGCACAGAGATTCTAGTCTCACTTGCCATCTAGACCAGATGCTTTTGAGCAGTGCACAAGCTGTACAACTGTCCATGACATAGATCCTATTTTGTGCTCACTCAGTCCCAGGAGGGGGAGAGACTGTTAATAGCCCTATTTTAGAGTTGAAGACACTGAAGCTCAGAGAAGCTGAGTCACTGGCCTGAGGCCACACAGGAGGCAGAGCTAGAGTTTCAATCCAGTCCTCTGTGAAGTGTCCACTGCCTTAGGCCCTGAGTGTAGGGATGTGGGGCCCCTGCTCTGTCTAGCTCCTGGGCCCAGATACGGGGTCCCTCACTGCCTGGAACATCCTCACCCCAGACATCCACACAGCTCACTTCCTCATCTCCTTCAGATCTTTGTCCAGAGGTGGTCGCATTCTCAGGGAAGATGTCCCTCTCTAAATGCGATCCCCCCTCCAGTCATCCCTTACCCGCTTTCCCTGCTTAACGTTTCTTTAGAGCCCAATCTGAAACACTGTGTTTTATTTGTTTGTTCATTGACCGTTTCCCCTACTTGAAGGTTAGTCCCAGAGGGAGAATTTGATCTATTTCATTCACTGCTGTATCCCTACCATCTAAATCAGCCTCTGGGCCCCTAAAAGTTATTCAATGAATCAATGATTCATAAAATAGTACAACAACTAGCTTTCACTGGCCAGCAGAAAGAGTTAGTCATAATAACAACTGTAATAATACTATTTAACACAAGGTTTCTCACCGTTGGCACTCTTGGCATTCGGGGTTTGATCATTCTAATTGAGGGGGGTTGACTTGGGCATCGTAGGATATTGAGTAGCATTTCTAGCCTCTCTACCCACGAGATGCCAACAGTACTCTGAGGCCACATTGTGACAACCAAAAATATCTCTAGACTTTGCTAAATGTTCTGTGGAGGAAAAAATTGCTTCGAACTGAGAGCCATGATCTAACAGGAACAGATGACTTGAAATGCACCAGGCCCTATTCTAGGCAGCTTACACACTTCATTGTCTTCCCAGTGGGCGGGGAGACTGTTATCAAAAGCAGATCTTGAGATAAGGACTGGGGTGCAGGGAGTTTACTTAGCAGGTGATCCCAGGAGGTTCTAGTGACCAAACAGAGAGGTGAGACCATGGCCCTCCAGACCTCTAAGAGTCTGCACACTGGGGGCAGGACTTAACCAAGTTTCACTACTCCAAAGGGACAGCAGAGTGTGCAGGTTTCCCTGCTGCTCAAAAGCCTTGGACCAATGCAAAGGAGAATACAAATAGTAAATATTAATATGTTACCTATTTGGTAAAAGATAGCATTGAAAACATTTTCTATTGTATGGTGGGAAGAAGGAGGAAAAAGAACCAGGAGATGGGGGTGGGATCGGGGGGAGGGTGTCAATGGGAAGAAAAGGAGAAACATCTATAACAAAAATAAGTTAATTATTAATAATAATAATAATAATAAAAGAACAACAACAAGAACCAGAAGATTGGAAATAGTAGCTGCAGAACATGGTCATGTCATCCCTCTAGTTCGAAAATTGCAAACTGTTGCCAGCTCCCCTGCTGTCCCCACTGCCGCGCCGTGAGCAGTCATCTCACATTTTTGCCGGTCCCCATTTATGTACTTTCAAAGGCACCAGAACCTCTTTCTTTGTGTCATATTTCTGATTCAGACTAAAGCAGAGGTCGTAATGTAATCCCAGACCAGTTTCATTTTATCTCTAAAGTGCTTCAAATTTTTTACATTAGTTGCCAACATTTAAAAAACCAGAAGCTTTATATTTGTGAAAAATACAGATTTATAGTTAAAAACAAAAATCAGCTCTGGAAACAGTGAGAATGGCTGGCCAGAGCTGACCAACAGCTGACCCACGGAGGCAGAAACACTCTTCGGTTTACCATACCTATTTGTCCTACCTGGCCCGCCGTTCTCCTTTGTGTTACCTCCCTGTCCCCTGGCGGCACTGAGCTTTCAGTCCCTGCTTTGGGTTTTTGAAGACCTTCCAGTCTACTGAGTGGGTCACTCTTCTGGTTAAAAATGTGTTGGCTATAGAACAAACCGTGCTGCTGTAACAAAAAGACCCATAAACCCAGGTATCCAACCTATTAGGTATTTACTTCTCACTCAGCTAATAGGCCCAGAGGTAGATAGGTGGTCCATGGCAGCCAAGTGGCTCTGATCCACGGTCATCTAGGGACCCAGGTTCCCTCCATCTTGTTGCTCCACAAGGTCAAAGTGTCTCCCAGTCTGCAGGAAGAGGGAGAGGGAGACAGAGGGGAGAAAACAGGCATCAATGCAAGAGCAAGACCAGAAGTTGCATCATCACTTCTGCTCACATTCCATTGACCAGAACTCAGTCACATGACCACACCTAGTTGCAAAGGAGGCTGGGAAATGTAGTATCCAGTTTGGCCACCCAGTGGCCAGCCAAAACTCAAAGTTCTATTTCTAAAAGGAAAGGGCAAGTGTATGCTGGAGAACCACAGTTGTTTCTCTCCCAAGGAGACTCTGTTTTATCATGAAATGTGGGCTCCCCCGCTCCCAGAGGTTGGGGCATTTCTCAGCTGCTTAAGTAGGCCTCAATTTTTAAAACTTTTTTGATAAATGCATCTCATTTATTTAGATATTTAAGCTCTCGCACTAAATTTGTACAAGCTGGTGAACACAGACAAATTATTTTTCCCACAGAACTAGAACCACACATTCCCAGACAGTATAAATATATGGTTGAACTAACATCAATACACATGACATTTTATCAATTACATAATAAAACAAATGATCAAGTATCCAAATATTAAGTTACACAGCTCAAAAGGCATAGAAAATATTAGATGTCTGTTTAGTTCATTAGCAGAAACCAACTTCTTCTTCTTATTTTATTTTATTTTTTTTGCAAGAGAGGGTGGGAAGGAAAAAAAATCACACTTCAAACAAAAGTAAGTTGGTAAACAACTTCGGAATGTATGAAAAAATACAAGAATTTCAGAATTTTTATGATTAAGAATTTTTTTAGCCACAGCAAAGCATGTCTACCTTTAAAAAAAGATTTACTGCCCTGGCCAGTTTGGCTCAGCGGTTAGAGCATTGGCCTGCGGTCCGGAGAGACCCGGGTTCGGTTCCGCTAAGGGCATGTAACTTGGTTGCAGTTTGTCCCCGGCCCTGGTTGGGTCATGCGGGTGGCAGCCACTGGATGTGTCCCTTTCACATTGATGTTTCTCTCTCTCTCTCTCTTTCTCTCTTTCCTTCCCACTCTATCTGAACAAAAAATGGAAAAATGTCCTTGGGCGAGGATTAAAAAAAAAAAAAAAAAAATACTGCCCTGGCCGGTTTGGCTCAGCAGTTACAGCATCGGCCTGCGGTCCAGAGAGATGTGGGTTCGGTTGCCGCTAAGGGCACATACCTCGGTTGCAGTTTGTACCCTGTCCTGGTTGGGTCGTGTGGGTGGCAGCCACTCGATGTGTCCCTTTCACGTCGATGTTTCTTTCTCTCTCTCTCTCTCTCTCTCTCTCTCTCTTCCTCCCTCCCTTCCTCCCACTCTATCTGAACAAAAAAATGGAAAAATGTCCTCGGATGAGGATAAAAAAAAAAGATTTACTAAAGAGCATAGTCTACATGTTCCACACAAGACAAAGGCAACATTTTACTAAAAATAATAGCTCCCTCACATTCTTTTCTCAGGCCCTCCCTACGAGTCGTACCCCAAGTACACACATCAGCATTAACCGCAAGGCTTTTTGTCTGGAGACATTAGAGACATGTACAATGTCGATTTCCAAAATGGAGGCTTTCCATAACAGCCCACAGTGAGATGTATAAAGACACGAAATAGTAACAGACTTGGCATAAAAATCAAAAAGTGCAGCAAACCTGATGTGTACTGGTGTGAATGTGGGAGATGGAAACATGAAGTGAGCAGGCAAATAACCACAGAGGCCCTACTTTCTACGTTTGAAATGACTGAAGGGATAAACCACATACGGTCCAGAGATTTTTGTTCTGTATGATACTAAAAATATACAAGATTCTAGCATGGGAATAGATTTATTTATTTTGTTATGATTATTTTTTTAATCCTCACCCGAGGATATTTTTCCATTTATCTTCAGACAGAGTGGGAGGGAGAGAGAGAGAAACATCGATGTGAGAAAGACACGTCAATTGGTTGCCACCCACACTACCCCAACCGGGGCTGGGGAGGAACCGCAACCGAGGTGCATGCCCTTGACTAGAATCGAACACGCGACTCTTTGGTCTGCCGGCTGACGCTCTAACCGCTGAGCTGGTCAGGGCACATGGGAACAGATTTAAAGACAACTCAATACTGCATGATCTCAGGAAAAGGAAGTTGGTACAAACGATAAGCACATTTCAAATGCTGAACCATAAGAATCCTTTGCTAAGTGTCAAAATAGGCTGATCATAACCCAAACATAGAGGTCGCAATTCTGTCAAGCTTGTGGCCTGGTAAAACTGCTTGTCAATACTCCTGGGGAAGCTTCATTAGACTTATTCACCAAGCCAACATGTTGGCTAACATGTATGACAAATTAGGTCCCAGCTCAAGTTCCGCTTCCAAGGCCATGGCATCAGGCACTCGCTTTGTTGCATGCAACCATTGTTTCTACGACCACTGGAGTCTTCGAAGCGTGGCCGCATTTTAGGGCGATCCTTCTCCATGGAGAGAAGTTGCTTGCTGTTCAAAGCTCCACGCCAGTTTTGTCTTATGAACTGTACTGCCTCTCGTATCCTGTTCCACCTTCGGTTAATGCTAGGGCAACAAGCATCGGAGCTCTCCCGAGGCCTGCGACACAGTGAACAGCAGTACAACTGGTTCCTCACGAAACTTAATTGTTACCAGACTTAACCAGTCATCAACAATCTGGTTGGATGGTGGTGCACCATCAGCAAAAAGCCAATCAAGAACGTGGATGCCTTCTTTCTCTCCGAGAGTAGTGTCATAAGTTGCTTCACATACTCATACTATTGGGGTAACTCCATACTGCTTACCTCCCTCGATACATTTATTTAAGGTTGCATTTATTTAAGGTTGCATTGGTTGGATCGTGTGTAATAAGAAATCTCATGTTCCACAGGAGCTGAGCAGTTCATCTGAGCCATGATAATTTAGTTAAAAAACACCCAATAGGGTTATGAAAGAATTTAAAATTTGAATACAGAAATGACAGCAAGAAGCTGAGTCTACTTCAATCTACTCCACTTGAAATTCTCAGTGCTTTGGAGTTGGGAGTCGTGGGAAATGAAATGAACCTTCTAATAAGAAGCAGCAATTCTCCAATCCAGTAACTGAGGCAACAGAAAGGAAGTGCCTTGAGGTGTACCCCATCCAGGTCAGAACTCCTGCAAAGCGCTCTGCAGATTTCAATGCAACGCTTCTGCGTCCAGGCTAACCGCTCGTATGGGTGCTCTTGGCGGAGTAGCGGTGAATTTCTACAGTTCGCTTGCTGCTTAGACATCAGCTGTGCCTGGCAGTAACCTCCACTGCCCTTCAGAAATCCCATCACTGTGTGACCAAGAACACCACGCAGCTGCCTCCCTCTAGCTGTGTTTCCTTGGCATAGGTTTGGCTCACTCCAAGGAAAGTTCCAACGGGATCCCTCCATTGAACCCTGTCTTCTTTCGTCAGTTGTAGATTGGCTGGAAGAACCGGAACGTCTGTGGCCTGGTGGCAAAGGCTGGCTGCTGGAAGGCCCTCGCCGGGAGACACACGGTACCTACGGCAGGAAGCCCCGACCTGATGCCAGAGCCGGTGCCTCCTTCTCAGGCTGCCACCGGAATACTGATGACAGGGGCTGCCTCTGCTCCAGCAGGCTGCCTGCCCCCACATTCTCAGACGTCTCGGATCCTCTCCCACAGAGGGCAGTGGCCGGGCTTGGCCAGGCTCTCAGCATCCCCGGGACAGTATAGGGTTTGACCCTCCCGGGGAATGGGGCCTCCTTCCTGGTGGAGAGTTGAGGGGGAGGGGGCTAGGGGCTGGTTTACAGGTCCCTAAAATCATAATAAGGGATGTGCTGCTTCCTGATCATAAGGCCTCCTCCGGGGACGGTGCAGAGCAGTTTCTGGAAAGAACTACATGCGGGCCTGGGGCCTAGAGAACTGTAGGGGTTCAAGTGTGTACACTTGCATGTGTGTCGTGTGCTTGTGATTCGACACACTTCTGCGCATGACTGTGTCCATTAAGGCATGCAGCTGTGCAAGAAACTGTGTGGCCGTGTATGTCTGAACATCTGTACATCCGTCTCTGTTCATGTAAATGTGTGTAACTATCAGTGTGAGTGTGTGTGAGCAGGGTTTGTGTGCATGTGAACATGTGTGTAGGTGGCTGTACGCAATATATACATGTGTGTTAGGTCTGGTGGGGTGGTGGAAATTTGTGTGTGATGTGTGAGCATGTGTATGTCAAGATTGTTGTATGTGAATATGTGTGTATACATGTGACTAAGCATGAGCATATGTGTTTCAGGGCATGTGAGTGAACATATGTATGTATGGCACTATGCATGTGAAGGCATGTTTGGGATCACATGACTTTGGACTGTTCTGTGTGTGTGTGTGTGTGTGTGTGTGCACGCATATGCACACACAGCACTGTGAGTGAGACCCAAGTGCAGCCTGGAACCTGGGGGGGCACAGCTGAGAGGTGACCCCTCTGGATAACGTGTTCACCGCATTCACTGCCTCCGTGGAGGGGCCACCCTGAGACCCTGCCATGTGTCCTTCCCAAAACAGACATATGCAGCACCACAGAGGATGAGGAAGGGCCACTCCTCTGTCCCTCAGGCTTTGAGTGCCACATCCTGAGCCCAGGCGACGTGTCCAAGGGCATCCCCAACCATGGGCAGTGTGTCAAGCAGGGCTCGAAAGCAGGTGAGTGCCCAAGCCCCATCTCTGGCCCCTGCCCCAACCTCACTCTCCCTGGAAGCCCCCGTGTGCCGCAGATACAACCACTGGCCCCTGAGCCTGGCTGAGGGCTCCTCCTGTCCTCCTACTGCCTTGATCATCCCTTCAAATCTTTGATCCTTCCCCCCACCTGCACGTGACACAGGCCTTCAGTCCCAGCTCTGCCGCCTCCTAGCTGGCCGACTTGGAGTCAAATGTTTCAGTCTGTGAGCCTCCGGCTCCTTATCTGTAAAATGGGGCCACTTCATGTTATTATGGGGATGCATTTAAATCATACATGTAAAGGCCTCAGCAAACATCTGATATTTTATCTCTCTCCATATACCTATGTTTGGAGTTGTCTGAGAACCCTTACTTTCTGCCAGGACCATTCAATGGGACTGAATTAGTCGTCGTCTTTAGGGAGGCAGTAGGCTGGTGAGGGGCATGAACAGGATCACTTTAGTTTGCATAATTTTCCCAACAAGAGCAAGGACCACAGAGCAAGGACTGATGATGGTACCTAAAACCCACGCGTGCCTCAGGCAAGACGTAAGGTTGAGAGATTTGGTGTGAGTTTGGGGAAAATGTGTGGCAAGCGAAGAATCTGGAACGTCAGGGAGATGCAGAGTTTACCAAAGGTGAGCTCATTGGAAGCCTGAGTCCGCACACGCCAGGGCCCAGGGCCCCACTTCTGCATCTCCGAGCTCACAGACAGCACCCTCAGTCATCAAGGGTAACTACACTGACCCTACTGGCCAAAGAACACATCAGAGTACACGGTCTGCTGAACCTTTTTTTTTTTATTTGAGAATTTATTTCTCTAAAGTGTTTCAAGAAAAGACATACACGCCCTGGCCGGTTTGGCTCAGCGGTTAGAGCGTCGGCCTGCGGTCCAGAGACCCGGGTTCGGTTCCCGCTAAGGGCACGTATCTCGGTTGCAGTTTGTCCCCAGCCCCGGTTGGGGTCATATGGGAGGCAGCCACTCGATGTGTCCCTTTCACGTGGATGTTTCTCTCTCTCTCTCTTCCACTCTCTCTCCCTCCCACTCTACCTGAACAAAAATGGAAAAATATCCTTGGGTGAGGATAAAAAGAAAGAAAGACATACACATTAAATTAGTTACACATTTAGCATCATTATCATTGAAAATAATAAAATTAGGAGACATCAGAACTGTTGTGAGAATCCCGATTCCTGGAATTCTGAGCTTTGAAAAAAAAAAAAAAGGCCTATAAAAGGATTTGAACCAATTCGGCATAATTGTGATTTCTCCTCCATGCCACTTGCTGTTTGGAGTTACAAGCAGGTTCCCCAGCCAGACAGCGTGGATTCCAGTGGCCACCTGGCCCCTTCCTGCTGTGAACCTTCCCAGGCCCCATTTTCTTATCTGTAAAATGGGCTTGTGATGGTTAAACGACCATGCCTCTTGCTTCAAAGCACAGAACAGTCTTTAGACACCAAATCAAACCTTAGAAGGCTGGGGTATGCAGTCCATCAGCTGCAAAACCCCGTGGGCAGGCCAGCCTGTGGGGACAGGCTGGAATAGGGAAGAAATAGCCTTTATCAAAAGAGAGCTGCAGGGCGAGCCAGGGGTCCTTTGGTCTGGAATGTCATTTTTATAACTGGAAAGGCCTGGAACTTGCCTCTCTCATCTCCAGATCTTGCTCGTTTAGTTACATGAGACGCATTTCAAAGATGGAGATAAGCAAAGAGATCGATGCAATAGTGCCTGCTGTTGTTTGAGCCCCTTAGAGATACTGTCTTTAAGTGTATCGAAAGCCTGTGAAAGGGACAGTGTAACCAAAAGGCAGTATCACGTATATTTAAGAGCACAGGCTCAGAACCACGGAAACGGGTTCAAATCCTACGGCTTTCTTCCCTGGTGACCTTGGGCGGGTAACCTAACCTTTCTTAGCTTCTGCTTTTCCATCTGTAAAAGGAGGTGGTGATGGTCATGAGAGTAATTGCTCCATGGGGTAGTTATAGGCTTGAATGAGAGAACACCTGTGCAGAGAGCGCCTGACACGTCGTAGGTCCTCAAGGACTGTACGCCACTGTCTCTCCGTCTGACAGAAAAGGGGGCCAAGTTCAAGACCTTGCCCAGACAGTGCACAGAGCTAACAAGGAGCAGAGTGGGAATGTCGAGCCTCTTCTCCTGCTGCAAAGGCTCCAAAGCCCGTGTGTGTGTGTGTGTGTGTGTGTGTGTGTGTGTGTGTCCTCCCCCTCCCACAGAAGATATGAGCCTTGTAAATAGAAATGTGAATGAAATTTCTACCCTTGGCCCCAGCGGGGGCTGTCACTTAGAAAGAATTGTTGATACTTATAGGGAGTTTGGAACCATTCAGACTTCCAACAACTTAGAGAACGGTCTCAGGGAGAAGAGGGGCAGTCTTGAAACAGGGCGATCAAGAAAGAAGTCTTCTATGTAAAACATTTTGAACGACATATTTTAAGGAATTTTAGACTAACCGGGAAGTGAAGAGAATAGTACTTTGGACCCTCTACCCATTCACCAATTGTTAAAATATTGTCACTTTTGCTTTATTGCTTTCTGTCTCCCTCCCCCGAACCCCCACTCCATCTCCATAGATATCTCCATATTCGTTTTTTGGGACCATTGGAGAATAGGTTGAAGATCTCACACGCACCCCTAAGATGCCAGTCTCCTCTGAGAGCTCACTTCTAGAGGGGGCAGATGACCATTTCGGTTTGCGGTCTGTCAGCCTGGAACCCGACTTTTGAGGGGTTCACATCTTTCTCGAAAGGAGAGTAAACATTGACACGTGGAGTAAATGAATTCCCAGAGAGCAGGGTCAGGGGGAATCAGTGCACTTTTCTGAGTGGGTTCGAGGTCACTCGGAGGCTGAGCATCCAAGGCCTCGATGTGGGAGATGGGGTCCCCTGCGCGCCTCTGACAAGTGACTTGGCCAGTGGTGTCAGGAGAAGAGTAGCCTGGAGCAGGCATTACCGGCCCAGACTCATCCCCAGCGAGGGGGAGGAGCAGGGATGTTTCGGAGAGACTCCAGCCTGGCAACAATCCTAAAACCTGGCTGTTGGCAGGTATGCCATCCACCTGACAGTGCGGGTGTGGGTACGGGTTGGCTCCCTGGGCCTCTGTCGTCTGTACGACAAAATGTCCGTGCTGGTCCTACACACCCAGGTGATTTTAAGGATGGCCCCAGACCAAAAGGAAACAAAATGTCCAGCTCTGCATGAGGGTGATTTTTTAATTGAGATATAATTGACATATCACATGATAGGATTCTCAGGTACATACACGTGATTTGTCAATGTGGCAGCTGTCACACGTCCGATGTGCTGCAGGGGAGAAGTGAGCTGCGGATGTAGCCATTGCCACGTGAAACATAGTGTTCTGGCCCGATTTCCACTCCCCCCAAACGTTTTACTGCTGTGGGGGCTGAGGGAAGAGGTGGGGTCACGACCATCAACAGGGAGAAGTCATTTGAGACATATGAAATTGCCAAGAGTTGACCACTTTTTACACACAAAAATGGCAACTTCACATGGGTCCTCCTAATATTTGCGTATATATGTTGGAAATGTGTTCTTTTAATCCTCACAATAACTGAAGAGGTACTGATCGGCTGCTATTTCAAAGTCATGTATGTAGCTTCTGGAAAGTCTCCTGTAATCTCTTGATAGAACGAGAATGAGAAATGCAAACACATCTTTAGTATTATCATGAACTTCCTCTTACTTGTTTTCCAGAGGAGTCATTCCGACACACAGTTTACAAAGAATATCCAGGTAAGAGAAGAAATCATTCTTTCTTTGCAGACAGTCCTAAAAAGGGTGAAGAAGAAAAATAAAAGCCCATGGACTGTTAGGAGAACTACAATTTAAAGGTGCTAAAAAGGGAGAGGGCCATATTCTCCCCAGGTGTTTTTTGGTCATCAGATGGCACTTTGGGGTGGAGGTGGTGGGATACCCAGATGTTTCCATTGTGAAAATCTCTCCTCCAACCTGGGCAGTCCTCCAGGTGGCACCATGAGGGCAGGAGCCATGACAGGCTGCAGGCTGGGAGGGTTGTGGAAGCATCTAGACAGGTGACTGAGACAGGGACGGAGGCAGCAGCTCAGGGATGTCCCATAGGATTGGTCAACAAGGGAAAAGACTTTTGTCTGGTGGCGGGCAGAGGAGATGTGAGTGAAAAGGAGTTCACAGCTAATACGGTTCCATGCAAAACGTCAGGACCTGAGATTGGAGATGCTTTAGTGCCTCCTTTCATTTACAGAATTGGAAAATATGGCTGACACCATCATGCCATTCAACTACCCGTGGGTCCACCCATCCAATAATCCAATCATCTGTCCACTCATCATCCACTTAATAATTTATTCAGTCATGCATGCATCCATCTATATCCATCCATCCATCCATCCATCCATCCATTCGTCCGATAATTTAGTCATTCCACCCACCTATCATCTCTTGACTAGACACGTATCAAGCATTCTGTGCTCATTCATTCTTCATTCTGTTCTTCATTCCGCGCTGGAGGTGGGGGCTACCTCTGTGAACATGGCCCAGTCCCTGCCATCACGCAGCTAATATCAAACAGGAAATCAGACAATAAGGCCACGTGGTTTTTTAGTAACAGCAGGTGTGGAGATCCTGGGGTGGAAGCAACTAGGCTGTCACTGCAGCTGGAATGTCGCGTGAGCAAGGGGAGAGCGGCAGGAGGCGAGGCCAGAAGAATGGGCGGGGCCGGAACAGGCAGGTGGTTGTGCATGGAGAGGAAAGGGGCCAGACTGCAGGTGGGGTCTGCGTGACCTCGGTGTGGGGGAAGGGGAGACAGGGCCAGGCCGACGCATCTGGACTCAACTCAGCAGTGGCTGGTGAGCCTTTGAGCAGGAACCGACATGCCTGCCCCAAGAGAGCCCTGTTCTTTTTCAGAGGGTGATTTTAAGAACGTGGCGGAACATGGAAAAGAGCGACAAGTGCGCGTTCAGTGAAGCGGTGCCAGTGGGTAAGTGGGAGGAGCCACGAGTCAGTGGGGGGGGGGGGGGGGTCAGTGTGTGTAGCCAGGGACCCTCGGAAGCTTTAACTATAAAGTTGACCAGTGGGGGGGTGAGAGTAGGACTTTACCTGCGGGTAGAATTTTAAACGTCCTTATCGTTTCAAAGTGAATGTGTGAGAACTTTTTGTGGACGTTTCCATACCCTCTAGACCTAAATCCAAAGACTCAACTAGGTTATAACCTACCTTTCCATCTCCTTTCCAATCCCTTGCCCTAATGCACCCATGAACAGGCAGACAAGTCCTCCGTTGTCCCATGAAGTCTGTCCCTCCCTCTGACACAGGGTACTGTCACCGGATACTCTATAGCAGGCATGTACCAGGCACTCAGCTGTTCAGCTGTCACTCACGGCATCCACAGTATGCCAGGAGTTGTGCCGGCGGTGACGCAGTGGATAGAGTTCCTGCGGTCATGGGCTTACATCTCCTACATCCTTTAGCAGGAGACTAGACAAGTCAACCAGTAAGTCAACAAGAAGGTGACAGGCTGCAATACGTATCGTGAAGGAAACAAGCGATGTGGTGCAGAGTAGCCAGCTCGGACAGGGAGCCGCTCCCCACGGGGTCACAGACGGCCGGGGTGAGGAGCTGACATCTGAGTCAAGGTCTAAGATGAGCAGGTGCTGCCGTAGGAAGACCTGGAGAATGGGCACAAGGGCAAAAGGAGCCAGAGAAGAAACATCCTGACGTGGGAAATACCTTGGAGGAACCACCGTGAAGCCACTGGGGTGGGAACAGAATGAGGGCCGGAGTGGCTGGCCCCAGAGGAGGTTCTTATAGGGTAGGCACAGGCTCTGTTCTCAGATGCTGTCCCAGGTGAGATGCATGCAGGTGGACGCAAAGGGCTGTGGGATCACAACAGCTGGAGGGGTCTTAGCAGGTGAAACGTAAATACCCAGCATCCCCTGTGAGAGCGGAAGGTTGACACCCGGTCAGCAGAAGCCCTTGCGAGCAGGCAGTTTCCCAGGGTGTCCTTGAAAGGCACTTCAGGTTTCAGATTCCACAATATGCAGGCGTGAGACCTGGAAAATCTGGAGCCAGTGCGGATTGATGCCAGCATTTCTATTACTTGCTGATGACAAGAACCGTCCTTGCAGCGGGTCTGAGCCACCGGAGGATTGTGAACCTTCGACATGGGAGCGCTGGAGGCCAGTGGGGAAGAACAGGCTGTGAGAGGTGGTTAGGATGGCTTTTAGGAGCCAGCCAGCCTGGCTTTAAACTCTCACTCTGCCACCATGTAACCTAGGCATATGACGTCAACTCTCCAGCCTCAGTTTCCTCATCTATGAAATGGGAATGATGGGAGGGATGTTAGGGACGAAAGAAGATGGTACCCATAGAGACTTTACAGTGAGTTAAGAATTTAGTCTTAGCAGAAGCCGGCATCTTGCTGGTGGCGTCTGATGGGGAAGGAAGAAAGGGACGACACAGATTTGTGACCCCATGTTCTGCCTAAGATGTGGCTCATATCCATTTCTTCTTTGTTTCCCTTTCAGCTAATTTGAAAGAACATTCCTCACTTTCTGCTAAGCCTTGGAAACAGTTACATTAAAAAATGCTTTGACCGCCAGAGGTCATGCCCGGCTCAGCAGAGCAGGACCCCAGAGATGCTTAGCGACAGGACACCTGGCTCTCAACTCCAGTGTGACCTTACCTGCCTGGGAGCCACTGACCAGCACAGGGTCCTGTTTGGTCATCCTGGAAATGCCTAGGGTCTCCTTTGAACCTGCGGCTCCACAGATGCTACCCTGGGAAGAAGCCACTGCCCTGTGAGCACGTGGGAGGCTCCTTCCTAAGACAGAGTTCAATGTCTCGTTATTTACAGCTTTATTCTGGTTTGACTCTGGTGGGCTGGTGCCCATCCCTCCCATGTTCTCAAAATATATTCACTCATCATAAAATGAAAATGAACTTACCTCTGCATGTGTGATTCGTAGTCTTAAGCACCTGATGACCTTAAATGGGATGTGCTGGAGCCATGGGCTCCCGGGGCTGAGAGGGAGGGAGGTTGCTGGGGTGTCCTCTCAGCTCTGCTTTTCGACCACGTGTGACCTGTCCTGGTTAAGACCCCTCTGAAGCGGACCCTGGGAGGAGGGTGCGGTGAGAGCGATGGGTGAGGAAAGTTCCTGGGGTAACTGGCAGCAGCAGAGAGGTGGGACAGGAGGGAGAAGGTCAGACAAGGGGAGGTGTCAGGGTCCTACAGAGTCACTTTGATGCCAGCCCCTGGGGGTCCGAGAGGCAGCCTGAGTTCCACCAGGGCCAGCTCCCGGGGCAGGAACCCGCGCGGTCACCAAGAAAGACCCTGCGCTCGGTATAATGAAATTCTTAGCAATTGTAGAGCCAGAGGCCTACGTGTTCATTCTGCAAATGACCCGTGGAGTTAGCCCGTCAGGGGCCAGGGGCGTCGTGTATGTGCAAGGCTCCCAGCACCCTCCATGAGGGGGTAGGGCTGCCCGTCGGGGAGGGGCTGTCAATACCATGGGCAGCCCACCTCCTTGCGCACAGGGAACCAAGGGGACGTGGGTAGAGCTCTGAGGGCATCTGTTACACAATTCAAATCTCAACAGTGTCTGCACAAAAAATGGACTCGTACATATGTAGGCTTGTGGGGGGAACTGATTCAATTCACCTCATAGCCCGTTTTCAGAACAGACCGTAGTGATTGGTATGAATAAATTGTGTGGCAGGTTTCAACTGTCTTTTCTTCTTCTTCTTCTTTATTGATTTTAGAGAGAGAGAGAAACATCGATGAGAGAGAACATCGATTGGCTGCCTCCTGCATGCCCCCCACTGGGGATTTGGCCCACAACCTGGGCATATGCATATGCCCTGACCGGGAATTTAATCAATGACCTCTTGGTGCATGGGTCGATGCTCAACCACTGAGCCACACTGGCCGGGCTCAACTGTCTTAATTCCAAATGTGGAGACAACATGGGTATACCCACATTTTAAAAACAAGCCACTCTCCTGTCTCCTGTCCCCTGTCCCCCTGCCTCTCCCCCACCCATGCACACACTCTTCCCCCCACCCCCCACAATCCATGTTCTCTTGGAAAACACGCCAAGTGCAGTTTCAAGCGAAGATTGATGACCTTTTGTGGGTGCGTCATTTCTGAGCATCAGTCCATTCAAACGGCATCTTATTGTTTTTGTGTGTCGAACATGAGCAAAAACGGTCAAGTGACTCACGTACAAGGTATGTACAGTGGACATTTGTCACACAGCCTGGGGAGGTTTTGACCTTCGTGTTGATGGAAAAGAACGACAAAGAAAGTCCGGTCGGAGACATTTCAGAGAGTGAGGTTTATGTCTGTTCATTCCGGGCACAAGCCTCGTTGTGGAATTTATTCACGTGATTTCAGTGGGGCAAGCCAGGGGTCACAGCTTGGGTGACCCATGAAATGCCCCGTGTCCCACATGTCCAGAGGGTCGATCTCACTGGCTGGAAGGGACCTGCACCCGGGGTTGGCTGTGGGCCTGGCAGAGAGGGGAGTCTAACAAGGAGCAAGGCTCATCAGGGCTAAGGCCTGCGGGTCTAAGGGACTGTCCACTCCATGGCTGGCCACACACAGTGGAAGTAAACAATCACAACCAGCAGAGACCTGAGTGTGCCCAGCACTCCCTGCGCAGGTCTCAGTCGAGAAAGCCAAGTAAATGTCAGAGATCTGAAGGGCTCACCCAAAGTCACGTAGCCAGTGAGTGCCAGGGCCGAGATGCCAGCCAGATCTGTCCTACCCACAGCTTGGGCTCCAGAGACCAGCTATTCTGGCCTGGCCAAGCACGTCCTGCCAGCCACTGAGGCCCAGAAGGGGACACCGCTCGTGTATAGTCCATCATAGGGTGCTGGGGACAGGGCTGAGCTCGTCCCCACTTCCGGGGGGCTGCCCATGAGGTGGGGCAGAGAGAGCAGAGACGGGTCAGTCTGGGTTCCATTCCTGAGCAAGGTGCTTACCTTCTCTGAACCGTGGTTTCCTCCTCTGTCAAGTGGGTGTGATGAGAGCAGCCGCCTTTCAGAGTTGCTGCGGGGGGTTATGCGAGATGATGGATGCGTAGTAAGGGCTCGTTGGGTGCGATTAGAATTCCTCATCGTTATTGTCTTGGCGCTATTGTCTTCTGGGGGCACAACAGTTGAGAACCTCTGGTTGAAGCCCAAATAGCTGGTATCACTTCATCCATCAGTAAGTTCCACTGGAGCGTTTTCTCCTAGGTTCAGGGTAATTCATTGACTTTCCCACTCACGCATCACCTATTCATTCATGCATTCGTACGTTCACTCTGTTAATAAATATTTACCAAGCACTAACCACCTTGTCTCGGTAAATCCAGGATGCCCGCTTTTCACCTGTGCATAGCCCTGAGGCTGGGCCGTGTCGGGCCCAGCAGCAGGCAGCAGGGTGGGGTTAGGGTTAACAATGCATCTGAGCTCTCCGGACCCACGACCCACGACCCACGAGGAAAGCGCTATTCACACCCGTCCCACAGATGCGGGGACCTGAGCTCGGAGAAAGCAGGTCGCTCGGCCAGGGTCACCCAGCGAGTACGTGGCAGAGTGAGGCCACAGACCTAAGTAACCTGATTCCAGGGTCCTCAGGAAGTAGGAAGCTTTTCTTTTTCTTTTTTTAAACAGCTAGAAAGAGCATTTAATTCATGTGGTTACGCAAACACACAGGTATTGTTTGAGTTTCTGATGAAATGCTGACTTCCTTCTGACATTCTTGTATCTGCAGCATCCACGTAGAGAGAGGTTACAGTCGTCTCCGGGAAGCAGAAATTACGGGAGGCCCTTCGGAAAAGATTGGGGGAAGGAAAGAACATTTTTTGGGGGGTCATTAATTGTCAAAGATTATATCTCATCCTAAAGTCATCCACCTGTTTTGTTTTTTTTTTCTTTTTTTAATAATGTTATCTTTATTGATTTTAGAGAGAGAAGAAGG